TACAAACACACACACACACACACACACACACACAGAGAGAGAGAGACAGAGAGAGAGAGAGAGAGAGAGAGAGAGAGAGAGAGAGAGAGAGAATCCTGAATATTCAGAAATTATTTAAAACAGTGCTTTATAATCTTCCCTTTGTCCTCAGAAAAGGATGTGAGCCAGCCAAGAGAAGGATGAATTATTGTAGCCAAGTATATACAGAGAGAAGAAAGCAGGGTGAAACTGCAGTGAAAAACTCATCTCAGAGCAGATAACTTTGGAGAGTCAGCCTTTATTGCAGTCTCTCCATTTTTTCCTATACAGCAATACCATTGCCTCACAATCCGATGCTTTTCAGTATGAAGCGAGGTTGGTGTTCACGGAGGATGTGAATTCCTAACACTCTCCTGGTACAGATCCACTCATTACTGTAGCAGGGAGGTTCAGCGGAAGATTTCAGTGACGACAAAAAATGCCAGTCTCTGTAAGGAGCTCGTGCTGATGCAGGGGCAACAGAAGCCATATAGACATATAGAAAGCATTCTGCTAAGGCTGATGGGAAAGAACGTTCATTTTGCAGCTCCTGTATGGCTGCTGAGCGGCTGGCCCACATGTGAAAGTTTTCTGTTTCTTCCAAAGGTCCTGTTTTTCAGGATTACAACCTGGGGAATTCCATCAGGATGGGTGTGGCAGGGCTGGTCCTACTTTCTCTGTTGATGATGCTGGCTAAAGCCTGGTGGAGCCATAAAAAGTTAAAGCTGCAGAAGGAAAATGTACAGAGCCCAACTGAAGGGAACAACAGATGACGGGACAGAACGGACCCTGGATCATAGCCCATGACGTGACACAGATGTGGAATGCACCCAGGGCCAGGCCTTGAAGTGTCAGTGGACGCTGTGAAATAAGACTGCCCTTCAGTTTGCAAGAGCGCCCTCTGGAGACGGAGGAGCTACTTGGGGAAGCATCAGGAGAGGACACTGGCAAGCTCGGGTCCATGCACAGATACCACACGGGATATTTCCATTTGTTCTTGAATGCCATTTGTTTCCCCTCATAGTTTTAAATGACCTGACTGTAACTTTCCTGTTGTTGATAATATATTTCTCCTCTTCCTGTCTCCTTTGTAATCTCCTCTTCTCTTCATCTTCCTCTTCTCCCTATATAATTTTTACCCTTCTCCTCTCCCTCCCCCCATAATATCCTTTGTTGTATTATTATCCCTCTTCATCTTTTTTTGTTCTGATGCAATA